GCCAGAATTATGTGGTGCAGCCACCAGAGACCCCCCACGCCTCCTGCATCCTGCCCTTGGGGTCTCCAGTGGGGCAGAAGCAGGCAATCGGCTCGCGGGCATTGGGAGAAGAGCAGCGCCGCTTGGCTGATCTCTCCCACTGCTGCTCCCACACGAGTGGGTGTGGCGACCCCCCAGGTGGTGTTGCCCGGCGGGGCTGTGTGTCACATGGCATCCCTCCGGGCCGCCCCTCGTGCATGAGCTGCAGGGCAAGAAACAGCCGGGTGCCAGCTCCCTCCTTCAGCCCGAGTGCAAACCAGACCCCTCTTCCTCTGGAGAAGGAGGGGAGGGTGGCTGAACCTCCTTGTCCTCTCTGCTGCACTTCAGGGCTTGAGATCCATTTGTGCAGTGGAGGCGGCTTCACAGCTGTGGTGAACGGAGCTTGGCTTGCCATGGCAGCTGTCAAAGCGAGGAGCCTGATTCCTCCCCGAGCTGCATCCTGGGATATCACTCAGAAGACTGTGAGGGAAGAGGCTGGGAGAAACAGCATGATGAGCTTGATTGTCTTTCTGGCACATCAATGCAAGGAACTGTGTATGGTGGAAAGTGAACAGGGTTGCTTCTTGTGATGTGCAAACCTAGCCATTGTGTTTAGTCACAAAGCCCCCTGCCTTCTTTCTCCAAAAGAACCTTGCCTGTCTGTTTGTCAAGTATCTCAACTGAGCAGGAAAAACTTTTTTGGTGCAATCCTATGTATAGTTAGAGGGAAAACATCCTATAACTTCCAGCATTCCCCAGCTTCATATACTGGCTGGGAAATGGTAGAAGTTACAGGACGTTTCATTCTCTAAACATGCATAGAATTGCACCCATTTTCTGGGATCTTAATGTTTTCTTAATGTTGTAGTAATGGAGCATTTAATATTGCTAATATATTATTCTATTCTTATTTTGGGATTTAGCTGTGGTCTTAAGTGCCATCGTTTTGATAGAAATGCAGTACAAATATAATAAATTCAGTTTGTTGCAAGGACAAAGTACAGTATATACCACAAAATTACTGGTTCATGTAGTAAAATCTCCCAACGTATTTCCTTTCCCTTTTGCAGGTTCTTATAAACTCTTGAAGTCTTAGACAATTTACACAAATTCCACAGGGAAAATTTCCTGTTGGGGGACTTTGTTTTGACAAGAGATGTTCTTTGTGACTGATTTTTTTTTCTTAGAGGCATCACTTGTAACTACCTTGTCCTATATTTCTAATTCTTTTGTTCGCAGTGTATTGTCTGTTTTCTTTGCATCCAGCTTTAACTTTTACCAAGTAATGATCTACTGATGATCCTTCTGAAAGAAACCCTGATATCGTTAAGGGGCATAGTGCATACCGTGGGTTGCTGTTTGTTGGGGTGACATTAAATAACTTGTACGCATCATCCCACCCTCTTTGCAGCCAGAGTCTCTCTGAAAAGCACTTCTGTATAGACTTGATGCAGATTGTCAGATTCCCTACTATTATTTGAGCCAATTTATGCTGTATCTCTTATGTCTGCTAAATTGTCCTTAAGGAATATTTGCTCTGATATAACTGGGATGTGAACTGGCATATTGGAGAAATTTCTTTTGATCTGTACATGTCCCTCTCTTCTCCTTTTTCGCTGAGATATTCTGTTAGTTCTGGGTCATCTCAAATTTTATATTTTCAGTTCTAACATTCACATATTATGAAACTCAACCAACTCATCCAGGCTTCTTTTCCAGATCAAAAATATTTCATCTATGTATCCACACCAAAATTTAATGAGTTTGCCGGAAAGGATATCAGAAGAATACCAGTATAAGTCTTCAAATTGCAAGCGTGCTCCCCCCACACACACACATTCGGGTGCTGAATGGGAATCCATTAACATTCCTTGTGTCTGTTGGTAGAATTGTATATGAACGGCACAGTAATTTTTAGAGAGAAGTAATTCTTAAGAGAATTTTTTGATGTTTGTTTGGCACTACAGGTGACCTTCTGCAAACAATGCAAGGGCTCTACCATTGTGCTGCACTCCCCTAGGATGGGTTTTCTGCAGTTCTGCTCTTGCACAAGAGTGAGCCTTGCAAACAGGACTGTTTTGCTACAGATTTAGATATACTGTATAGCAGAGAGACAGAAAAGAAAAGAGCAGAAAAAAGGCATCAAAACTAAGTAGCTCAAAAATTATACAAAAACCGATATTGTTATATCAAAGGGAGAGGAAGAGAAGCATATGTTAAAATCTCTTTTCTGAAGATTAACATATCCCATGTTCTCTTCCCCAAAATGGGGCTATTGCTTTACTGCGCCACTGGTTAATTGTGTCAAGTGGAACTTGGCCAGGTATCCTGAAGGCACTTTTCTTTCAGTGATCTCTAAGCAGCTTGGGATCACAGCCTTAGAGTAGATTAGATGCTCCACAGAGATGGGAGAAGCTCAAAACAGAGCATTTTTAATCCTTTCTCTTTTTCAGTTAAAGTGTTTAAATCATAAAAAGTGATGCAGTTCCTGTCTGTAGGGTGGATGAAGAGGCAATGCAGCAGTCTTCAAAGCTTCTGACTATTTTGGGATGCAGTAATAGAAGTATTACTTCCAGGTCATGAGAAATAGTAGTTCCCCTATACTCCTCACTAGTCAGACCTCACCTGGAATACTGTGTCCAGTTCCAGGCACCAAGATTTAAGAAAGATGCAGGTAAATTAGAAAGGGCCCAGGGGAGGGCAGCAAAAATGACCCAGGGTTTGGAAACACTGCCCTGTGAGGAGAGACTGAGAGAACTGGGCATGTTCTGCCTTGAGAAGAAAAGACTGGGGGGGGGGGGGCGGATGATCTCCCTCTATAAGTCCCTCAAAGGCTGTCACAAAGAGAAAGGTCGAGGTCTCTTCTTGCTGATGCCAGAATGTTGGACACGGAATAATCAGTTCAAGTTGCGACAACCCAGATTCAGGCTGGACATCAGGGAAAGCTTCCTCACTGTCAGAGCAATACGGCAATGGAACCAGCTGCCTGGAGAGGTGGGGGGCTCTCCCACACCGGAGACATTCAGGGAGAACCTGGACAGCCATCTGAGTGGGATGGTGTAACATAGTGTCCTGCAATAGCAGCAGGGTGGACCCCATGGCCTTCTGGCCCCTTTCAACTTTACCATTTTGTGATTCTATGACTTCAGGAAAATCCTTTCAGTGTTGACTCATCTGCCAAATAACTGCTGCATGTTGGAATACGGACAGGATCCTGGGCCAGTTTAGGGCTCACTCATGAGACGAGTTTGACCCATGACTGTGACCATTTCACAGACTAAGCTCCTAGTACCCCTCTCTCCTTACCACACATTGCTGAAAGTTCTTCAGAGTGCTGCAGACTTCCCCAACCTGGTGCCCATCCAGATATTATGGACATCATCTCCCATCATTCTCAATTTGGCTGGGAATGACAGGTATTAGAGTCCAACATATCTGGAGAGCAATAGCATTGATTTGAGTCAACAGTAGTCTGCCCTGCACTGATCTGATTTGAGAATACACCTCAGCAGCTGCTGAATATGCAGTGTTGGAAGCCTTTGTGCCTATGCAATTGTGTGCATTCCTTACTCAAAGGAGCACACTGAAGGGGGAGCTAAGCCACAAGAATAGTGACACGGGCAACTAGTGCAAATAAACAAACTTCTAGCAAGCCATCCAGTAGTGCAGGCAATGCTGTACCTTTGGGCCAGGGTTCTGCAGCACTCTGTGTGTGTGTGTGTGTGTGTGCGTGTGCGTGCACGCGCGTCTGTTAGCGTGAGAGAGAGGGGCACAAAGAAACAGGCATAACCACTCACTGACCGTCCAAGCAGCATGACAACACACACTCAAGAGCTGAGTGTGTGTTGTCATTGAATTGTGTGGGTTGTTGTGTCATATGAATCCAGCCTAGATAGAAAACCATGGTGAACATCAACAAGCCATGGGTTTTCTTCATAGGTTATTCATGGTTAACGAGCCATGTCTTGTGAATGCAGTGCAAGAACCCCCACTTCAACACAAGCCATGGTTGTTGTTATATTTGTTTCTATCCCACCCATTCCCAGTGTTGGTTCACTGGCAACCTGCACTCACCTGGTGCTCGACCCGCACCCGTGGCTGTTTGGGGCGTGCTGGTGATAATAGGCCTTTTTTCCTGCTTCAACCTGCGTGGGCGTGTGCCTTGTGTTTGAAATGTGAAGTGGCCCACGCTGAGTCTGTCTGTCTGTCTGTCTGTCGGTCTTGCTTTCTTTTAACCAGTCTTGGCAATCGGCTTGGTTTTTTCCCAACAGTGCAGGAATGTAGACCAGTTGTAAAGCACAGGATTGTGGCTGGGGGCAGGCAGTGGCGGGCTTCCTAATTAAATAACATGCGTGGCTGCATAAAGGGGGTGGGGGCACTGGGCCATTATGTCCAGGGCCCAGATCCCTTCCTGCGTCGCTGAGGCCACCCTGGGAGCTTGCCAAGGACTGGGACCAGACAGGAGGACTGCCTGCGGTAAACAGGGCGAACTGAACGGACCAAGCCTCAGACTGCAGGGATGTACTAAGGGCACCCTTGTCGTTGTCATGCTGTTTTTGTCCTCTGGTATGTGAGTGACCCTTCTGCTTGCGTTTAGACGGAAGGCTTTCTCCCTGCTTTGACCCTTCTGCAGAGAAGAGTAGAGGAAGAAGATGCTGCTAGGTCAGGCACTGCGGGAAGATGTGGCCAGGCGTGGAAGAAATGTGGGGCAGTGCCTGCTCCTCCTCCTGGCCTTGCTCACAAGTAGGCCCTTGCTCTCGAGGAGATGGCTGCTGGGGGTTGTTGCTCTCTGGCTCTAGGCAACCGAAGGTGGCAAGCCTTGGGCTCTCCTCGCAAGAACCCACGGAGCTCCGGGCAGCACTGCACTGCAGCGGCCCCCGCTCTGCGGATGCCATCTGACTGCAGTGCTCCTTGAGTCGCGTCTCCTTGCTTCTTCTCTCCCCAGTTTTTGCAGAAAGCAACAGCCACTGTGACCGAAGCGAAGGTGTTGCCAGCACAACAGGCAGAATGACGGGGGAGTGGCAAAGACTGTTTGCGCAAAATTTGGCTGTGCCTCCGCACACCCAGAGGAGGCGCCACCTGCCACCCCGGCAGTCAACGGCATTCCAGTGCGTCTTGGAGCACGTGGAGGGGAATGCGCTGAAGCAGGTGAGATAATCTCTCAGGTATCCAATTATTTATTGCATATAGGTAGCCTTTTTGGAACTAACCAAGGGCTTGGCACAGCGCCCAACCCCTGCAATGGAGAGCAGGAACTTTATTTTTCCCTCTTTAATTCTCTTTTGTCCCACCCAACAGCTGAAGCTCTCCAGACCTAAATAGGACCATGATTAGGTAAAACATCATAAGTGTTTCCATAATGTGAAATTTAAAGCAGCTCACATTTTTTAAATCTAAGCAGTAAATGATGCAAAACAGACCTGTTAAAATCACCAGGCATGGGTGGCTCAGTCAAGCCTGCAGGTAACTCAGGCATCTTGAAACACCTTGGCGCAGGTGGCTGCCATGACCTGGCACATGAGGGGCTGTCCCAGAGGCCTGGAAGGGTGTGCACCATATGGAAACCTGGAGGCTCTTTTGCTGCAGTTTGGATTTGTAGCTGCTATTGCTGCAGTTTTCATTGTGCATTTCTTTCTTTCCTTTAAAAAGACTTTTAGGCTCCTGTCTTGGTGGTGGAGAAGATTAATATTATTATTATTATTATAACATTTCTATGCCGCCCCTTGCCGAAACCTCGGGGCGGCTTACAACAAGATAAAAAAAAAAAAGAACCATAGAGTCATAGAATACTAGAGTTAGAAGGGGCCAGAGGGCCATGGGGTCCAGCCTCCTGCTCACTGCAGGACTCCAGGTCAAATCATCCCTCTCAGATGGCTGTCCAGCTGCATCTTGAGTCCCTCCGGTGTGGGAGAGCCCACAGCCTCTCTCGGTCACGCGTTCCACTGTTGCACTGCTCTAGCAGTCAGGTTTTTTCCCCTGATATCTAGCCAGAATCTGGCTTTCTGTTGCTTCAGCCCATTATTCCATGTCCTGCACTCTGGGATGATTGAGAAGAGATTGTGTCCTTCCTCTTTGTGACAGGCTTTTAGGCACTCATAGTGTGCTATCCTATTTCCCGTCAGTCCTCTCTTCTCCAGGCTTAAGCATGCCCAGTTCTTTCAACCTCTCCTCATAGGGCTTCCTCTCCAGTCCCTGGATCATCCTTGCTGCCCTCTTCTGAACCCTTCCCAGCTTGTCTGCATATTTCTTAAACTGTGCTGCCCAGAACTGGATGCAGTTCTCCAGATGAGGCCTCACCAGTGCTGAGTGGAGGGGAAGTAGTGTATCGCAAGTGATACTTCCATTAATGTAACTTAAAATAGCATTTGCCCCTTTTGCAGACACACTACATCGTTGACTCGTGCTCAGCTTGTTATTTACACCAGTTCCAAGATCCTTCTCACTTGCAGTGTTGTTGAGCCAAGTATAGAATCCTCTCACTCGTAGAATAGAAGAACGCCCTTTGAAGATGCCAATCAGATGGACCACACCAATTAAACCAGCGCCCCATAGAATATATGAAGGCCAGTGAAAACAAGAAGGCCCTCCGAGCCTTCCTGAACACCTGCACAGGAGTGGTGTAGCAAACCTTTGCGGTTTGATTTCGTTTTTCTACTGTGTTTTTGCCTATCTGGCACATGGTACTTGTATTACCTCTTAATGTTAGCCAGACTGCAGTGTGGAAAGGTAGAACATAAGTCTTTTCACCTCGCTCTCCTTCCACACACGTGTGTACCACCCACTGTTACCTTTCCTTCTCCTTCTTTGAGTATCTTCTTTTTTGCCAGAATATGGCTGCAGCATTGCTGGTGTGGCCGAGTTCAGGCATGAGCAAGAGCAAGCCTCTTCCAAATGCCTTTTGCGCAGTGGGGCGGGCAAGCTTGAAAGCGAACATTTCAGCCCATTTACTCCTTCTGGACCCTCCTGTTGAGGGATAATAGTGGTGGATCCCCCACCACATTCCCAGTTTGCGGATCGGGATGTGAGAAGGAGGTCGTGTAGCTCTTCGGGTCAAAGCGTTCAGTGGGTTAGCTGGGATGCTGAATAATGCGGAGCAGCTGAATCTTTAATTGCATGTGCAGTCAGGTCACTCTGCTCTAATTCAGGACTTTCTGCTGTATTGCAAGTGCGGAACAGCTGGGAGAGGGAAGGCCTTGGACCAGCAATGCTCACATCCGGGCCCCCAGTCGCCCTCCCACCCGAAACCAAACTGCTCGCCGTGTCTTTCCAAAGCGGAAGACAGCACATGGCTTGGCACAGCGCCCACCCCCTGCATGTTCAGAGAGAAGGCCTCCGAGTCCCAGCATCCCCCAGGCAGCATGCTTGCCTGGGAAATCCTGAAAGCTGTGGGGTGCACATGGGGTCGCACCCTCGGCACCCCTCTGCTTCGGCCATGCAGCTGCCTTCTGGTGGGGACCGGCCGCCACTGCCTGCACTGCCATCTTCCCTCCAGCAGCCTTGGACAGTGCCCCATTGCAAGCCAGCCCCTCAGTGCATCCAGCCCAGGCTTGCTGGCACTGACTGGCAGCAGTGCCTCTCCGGGGGTTCAGGCAGAGGTTTTCCTGCTAGCCTTACCTGGAGCTGCCCTGGCTTGGGTCTGGGGCCTTCTGTGCCAAGAAGTGGTGGCAGCATAAAGTATGAAACACATTTGTGTGATTTATCTTATTTTGTGTAATTAGTCCCAATTTTATTAGTTAACAGGGAGGAACAGGCAAAGAAGCCCCATCCCCAACTTGGCTGTTTTGGTTTCACCAGGCATCCTTTTGTAGCCAGAAGGGCTAGAAACCTGCTCTTAAATCTAAATGCAAACTAATCTTGTAAGCACAGCTAATATTAAATCTATGTAAGTATTTAACTTGCGTTCACTACCCCACTTGCTTTCTTTAAATATTGGCTGAGCATGGTGAGCAGGTCCAGAGCAGGGGTATGCAGGGTGGAGTTTACCCTTTCCTTGTGTGCCAAAGACCTGCTGAAAATCACTCTCTGGAAGCTGCTGTTCACAGCCTGCTTGGCTTCTGTGCCCTGTGTAGCCTTGAGGTTTTCATGACTGTGCTCTGTAGTCCTTCCGTGTACTTCCAGCTCTAAAGAACTCTGTTGTCTTCATAGCCTCACCATTTTGGGGAAAGAGTCAAGCTGCCTTTACATGATATTTATATATTTAGAAGCAAAGTGCACACAGGTCTGTGCAAGGAGGTGGCAAGCGTGTGCCTTCTGTCGGCTGCACTTGAACGCTCACTTCCCTGGGAGTAAGTCCCAGTGATCTCAGCAGGGTTTCCCTCTGAGTAGGCATGTCCCGGATTGCACTTTCAATTCACCTTTTTTGATTGCTTGCACTTTTAAACCACCTAATAAAATAGCAGGGGCAAATGAAATCAAGATAAAACCAGCCATAAAGGGTAGAACTACGCCACCAGCACATAAACCCACGTTAAAACTATCAGTAAATGAAAGTGCTGATAATGTTAAAAATGCCAGGCAGCATAACTTTTGCCTGGTGTGGAAAGACCATAAAGTACATGCTCCATGAGCCTCTCTAGGGAGAGGGTCCCCCGGGCGGGTTCTGCAGCAGCTCCGTTGTGCAACATCTCCTAAGAGGCATTCGGGCAGGAAGGACGATCTTTCCCTCCCCCACTTCTTTCTGATGGGAGCACCTTTCCCTCACAGATCACCTGCTGGGGACCCTGTGATGATGCGTGACAACACCTATTCTCTCCCCCCTCCCCACCATCCCCATTTCCCCTTCTGCCGGCTAGGAGAGAAGGGCAGATTGTTTTGGCCAGAGGCCTCAATTAACTGGTGAGGGCTGCCAGTTTCTCACCCTGGTTTAGGGTGGAGACAGGCAACCTCAGGATGTCCAGGGGCCGTTTCCAGGGGGTCATCTCTGGCAAAATATTTGGTCGTTTGAGAACAAGCAGCTGTGGAGCAGAACACAAGCATGGGACTGGGACCCAGGAGATCCGAGTTCTAGTCCCTGCTCGGCTCGGCCATGGAGCCACCTGGGTGACTTTGGGCCAATCACAGACTCTCAGCCTAACTCATCTCACAGGGTTGTTGTTGTGGGGATAGGACTGAGAGCCGCAGGAGAATTACATAAGCCGCTTTGTGCTCACTGGGGGAAAAAGTGGGATTTAAATCTAATGAATAAATCAATAATGAACCAACCAACCTACTGCAGCTTTGTAGCAAATTGCTGTTGATTTTTTTCCTTTTACCACCACTGTGCATTTTTGGGGAGGCAGCGGGGCAGAGATTCTTGAGTGGCAGTGGGAAATGTGCATAGAAATTGGTTAAAATTGACATTTTCCCCCTCGAGATGCATCCAAAACCAATGAGTTCAGTGCACAGTAACTTAGCTTCCCGGTTTGGTCTCCTATTGGCAGAGGGCGTTGGATGGTATGCTGGAGGTTGAATTCCAGCTGCGCCTTTCGCTCTTCGATGCAGCATACCACCATTTCTTTGGAAAGACCTGGAGAAGCGCCACAAGGCCCCTCCGAGTTGCACCGGGAAAGCCTCCCATGGTGGTCTTCAGCGAGGTAAGTCCTCCTCCAGAAGGGTGGCTCAGACTGTGCGGGGGAGACACACGTGAGGCAGTCAAGCAGCAGTCCCCCAGTCCAGGTGGGGTGCCCGTCCCTGCAAAGCAGGCAAGCCGTTCATGACTCCCGTGAGGAAAAAGCAGTAAGAGGTGTACTGAAGTCAGCAAGATAATTAATTATCAGGTTGTTTTAAATGACTTGCCATATTGTTGAAAGTGCTGGTAGCATACGCAGAGCCCACGTTTTATGTAGCCCTGCACAGTGTCTGTCTGGCGGACGGTTGAATAAGCCGTGGCTGGCTGATGGTTTCCCACCTCCTTCCCTTCTCACTCTGCACCCCAAACATACCGTGTTGCCTTACTGTGGTGTCGTCCCACAGTGCTAGCGAGCCTCCTTTTCCCCAAGTGCACTTCCCTGCTGCCTCTGTCACCTGGTGAAGCAACTCCTGGGCAGTCTGCCCAATAACCACCACGTGGAGTTCCCATCTCAACACTGCGCTGCAATTTCTGGGCTGCTTGTGGTTACCTGGCCATGGTTTGTTAGTGCCGCAGGGGCCACGAGGGTGCGGGTGATTCCATTGCCTTTAGAGCCCACTTTTCCCCCTCTTGAGAGGTACTCAAGGATCCTTCTCTCCATGTTATGGAGGAAGGCACCTTAGCCAGGCAGGGGATGGTTGGGATCACCAGGGACTTCGAGGCCTTGGGGAAGACACTCAGGGAACTGAAGGCCCAAGTGGCCTTCTTGTCGATCTTACCTGTCCGGGGATTTGGGCCAGGCAGGAACAGTAGGGTCTCTGAGGTGAACGACTGGCTCAGGGTGTGGTGCCAGAAGGAACGCTTCAGGTTCCTCGACCACGGCACTCGTTTTCTTGCCAATGGACTTCTGGCAAGGGATGGGTTACACCTCACGAGGATGGGGAAAAGGCCCTTTGGAGATGCTCTAGCGAGCTTCGTCCGGAAGACTTTAAACTGGGCCAGGGGGGGGGGTTCAGGCCCCCCAGTAACGTGTCTGCACTGGACAAGTGTGGGGGGAGGATCAGGGCTCTGGGAGCAGGGTTTTCGAGATACTGCAGGGACTGACAGGACTCCTACAGAGAGGGCCAGGTATCAGGGAGGATGGGAGGAAGGAGGAGGCTGGGAACTCCAAGGAAAGGAAGTGGTGGGAAGGAGTTGAGGTGCATGTACACCAATGCTAGGAGCACGGGTAATAAGCAGGAAGAGCTTGAAGCTCTCCTGGGAATAGGAGGGTATGACCTGGTGGGAATCACAGAAACTTGCTCAGATGAAAGGCAAGTCTGGAATGTGAACATAGAAGGGTATCACCTTTTTAGAGAGGACAGGAAGGGAAAGAGGGGAGGGGGCGTGGCTTTATACGTCAGGGAAGGGATAGGATGCAGTGAGATAGAATGCAGCACAGATGGGGATTCGGTAGAGGCAGTCTGGGTGAAACTTAGGGGTTTTGACAGGGAAAGAGACCTGACAGTGGGGGTATGTTATCGCCCTCCAGGTCAACTTGAGACCCTGGATGATGGCCTGACAGACCAGATTCTCAGGATATCTCGGGGAAGACACAGTGATTATGGGAGATTTCAATCTCCCGGATATTAGTTGGGAGACTCACTCGGCGGTGACAGCCAGGTCACATCGCTTCCTAGAAGCTATTGAGGGAGCGTTTTTCATTCAGAGGGTCCGAGAGGCGACGAGGGGGGGAAACATCCTTGACTTGGTCTTGACCAATACAGAGGAGCTGATAGATGAAGTACAGATTAGGGGAGCTCTGGATGTGAGTGATCACGCCATCCTTTGCTTTGAGATCAGGGGACTGGGGACATGCAGCAGGTCGAGCACTAGAAGCTGGGGCTTCAAGAGGGCCAACTTTGGCCAACTGAAGGCCAGACTGGGGAAAGTCTCCTGGGACAGGTTACTGGAAGGCAAGGGAGTTGAGGAGGGGTGGATAGCACTCAAAAGGGAGGCTTTGGAGGTGCAAGCCTTGATGATACCTCTAGTTAGTAAGGTGGGGAGGTGGAGGAGAGCGCTGCCATGGATGCAAAAGGAGGTGGTTAGAGGGATTAGATGAAAGAGGAACCTCTGTAGGAAATGGGTACTGGGGCAAAGAGACAAAAGGGTATACCAGGAGGAGGAGGCCCGTTGCAGAAAGATTCTTCGTAAGGCTAAGGGTGATTACGAGCTGAGACTTGCCAAGAATATCAAGAGCAACAAAAAAGGCTTCTTTCAGCATGTAATTAGGAAGAGGAAGGGGAGACAAGTAGTGGGACCAGTATAGAAGGAGGAAGGAGATCCAGTGACTGATATGAGGAACAGGCACAGATGCTAAATGACTATTTTGCCTCTGTTTTCTCCCCAAAGCAGGACGGGGGAGATCTGCATAAGAGATTAGATGAGGCCGAGGACTTAGGGACACAGATTAGAGTCACCCCCCCTAGAAGTCGAGGGGGCTCCTCAGGGCATTGCATATTGCAAAGGTGCCAAGCCCTGACGGGTTACACCCGAGAGTTCTTAGAGAGTTGGCAGGGGTTCTCTCATGCCCACTGGCTTCCATTGTTGAGGCCTCGTGGAGAACGGGTGACGTTCCAGAGGACTGGAGGGTGGCATCAGTGGTCCCAATTTTCAAAAAGGGTAGTAGAAGGGACATGGGGAATTACAGACCTGTTAGCCGTACGTCCTGTGTAGGAAAAACAATGGAAAGGCTCATAATAGCGAGCGATCTAGTGATGCTAGATAGGGAAGGGAAGCTGGCAGCCACACAACACGGCTTCCGCAAAAACAGGTCCCGCCAGACAAAGCTTGTGGAATTCTATGACAAGGTTTCGAGATGGCTAGATGGAGGGGATGCAGTGGATGTGGTATACCTGGATTTCAGCAAGGCCTTTGACAAAGTGCCCATGATATCCTGGTGGAGAAACTGAGGAGTTTTGGGATACACCAATGCACTGTCCGATGGATTAGGGCATGGGTGGCTGACTGAAAGCAGAGGGTAACCATTAGTGGGAAATCATCGCGATGGCAGCCAGTGACAAGCGGGGTTCCCCAGGGCTCTGTCCTGAGGCTGATCCTGTTTAATCTTTTCATCAATGACATGGAAGAAGGGGTGAACAGTCTGCTGATCAAATTCTCAGATGATACTAAAACTGGAGCAGTGGCCACAACTGAGGAGCAGGTACTCCAGATCCAAAAGGATCTGGACAGACTACGGAAGTGGGCAGGAGACAACAGGATGGCGTTCAATGTGGGTAAGTGCAAGGTCTTGCACTTGGGGCATAGGAATGGTGTCATAAGTACAGGTTAGGGGACAAGTGGCTGGAGAGCAGCACTAGTGAAAGGGACCTCGGGGTGCTGGTTGACTGCATGCTAAACATGAATCAGTGGTGTGATGCGGTGGTCAAGAGGGCAAACGCCACCCTTGGTTGCATTTCCAGAAGTGTGGCTTCTAGATCGAGAGAGGTGTTGCTACCGCTCTGTGCGACTCTGGTGCGCCTGCAACTGGAGTATTGTGCTCAGTTTTGGACCCCTCGTTACAGGAAGGATATAGCCAGGTTAGAGTCAGTGCAGCGTAGGGCCACAAGGTCGGTGGCTGGTTTGCAGGGGATGGGATATGAGGCGAGACTGAGGGAACTGGGTCTCTTCAGCCTGGAGAAGAGGAGACTCAGAGGGGATCTGTTGGCGACATACAGCTATGTGAGGGGATGTCACATGGAGGTGGGTAGAGACCTGTTCTCCCCTGCAGAGGAAGGCAGGACACGCTTCAATGGAGCAAAGCTCAGGGAGCCAAGGTTCCGTTTGGATGCCAGGAAGCACTTCCTGACAATCAGGACCCCGAGGGTGTGGAATGGGCTTCCACGAGAGGCCTTTGAGGCCCCATCAGTGAGGGTGTTGAAAGATAGGCTGGATATGCACATGGTGGACATGCCGTGAGCAGAGCCGGCTGGAGCCGGGGGTCAGACTAGATGGCCCAGGAGGCCCCTTCTGACTTGCTGTGTTTCTATGTTTCTATGTTATTTTCACACCAACAACCCTGCAAGGCTGAGAGCGAGTGACTGGCCCAAAGTCCCCGGCTGAATTCATGGCTGAGTGGGGACCTGAGTGCAGATCCCACATGCCCAGTCTCACCCCAAGAGCAACCTTTGCGTGGGTTAGCATCATGTAGAAACCCAGTCAATGTGTGTAGGATTTTTCTAGCTTTAATTTGTCCTTTCTTTTCATTTTCTTTTGTTTTAAACCTTTAAATGTTTTATAGTATATTGTATTTTGAGCACATGTTCCTGTGAACCAGCCAGAGGGGTCTGCCTATTCTGCAGTACAGAAAGGTACAGCATAGGTACGCAGCCATGGAGCATGTCCTTTGCCTGCAGATAATGCTTGGATCAACCCAGGCTTCTCCAGCTGAACAGAACCTCGCAGCCAGGAGGGGGAGGCCTCCACGGGTCCTCGCCGCAGAACATTTGTGGGTCTCTGGCCTGGCTTCGCACAGAGCCATTTCACAGGTGTGCGGTGGATGCCTGTCCTCCCATTCCCAGCCCTGGGCAAGGGCCCCTGCAGTGCAGAGGGCAGAGCCCCCCTTTGTGGTCCAGGAGACCCCAGGCTTGATTTCTTGAGCCACTGTAAAGAGGAGTCAGGAAAGGCCTTGACTAAGATCCCAGTGAGGCTCAGAATGGAGCCGCCTCTCCAAAGCTTGTGTCCTCCATATGTGTTGGACTACAACTCCCATCTGTATAATACCTCTGTTGGCTGGGAAATCCCCCCTCCCATGGGCCATGGCCTAACTCAGTGCAAGGGGTTCCTCTGGTGGTCGCCCTCGCTTTCCAGCTCCCACAGTGCCTGGGCGAAAGGACAGGTAGCTGCAGCAGAGCCGGATCTGTCCTGCTCTTGCTGCCTGCAGCCTCAAGGCTTTGCCCTGGAAAGAGGTGACACCTCGGTCCCCAGGCGGCCCCCCCCGCCATGCCAGAGGGAGCACGGGGGCTTTTTTGCCCGGGGGGGGGGGGC